AGACTGAAATGCGAAATGTTGGATGTGTTACTGGGAAACTTTGTTCGTCCGTTCATTTTCCCCAGAGGATGAACATCTCAGACACACTCTAATACGCTGTTATGTATTCTAACTTAAACATTGTATTTTTAGAGAATTACCAGCAGAATTAGGACAATATTGAGATAATTTGGGGAAAAAAATATTAAAAAATCAAAGTCCTTATATTTTAGTTTAGCATTTTTATAAAAATCCCCAAAATATACAAGCTCATAAAAAAACTAAATTTATTTAAGAAAATTTGTTTGAATTTTATTGCCGATCTTTTGTGAATTTAGCTTTTTAAATATTATTATTATTATTATTATTATTATTAGCCAGGTAATTCACTGCACACACATTTTATTTTATTTTGTCGCTTAATTTAATATTTGCATTTTCATACCACGAAGCAACATCATTAAATATCTTTTCTTTTTTTAAATTATAGATTTATAGTTTAATAACAGCAAAAGTCCCACTTTGTTGTTGTTTTATTTACGGTTGGCACACTAAAAATATATAATGTTTTTTTTTAATTTCGTATTTTATTATAGATAAGCCAATAAAACACAGATAGATGCACAATTAAAATTAGAATAATGAAATAAAATTGCCATAGAGAAACCATAACTACACATAAAGCAATGTTATTAAAATACAGAAAATGTTTTGTGTGTTTGTTTTGTTGTTTCACACACAAAGTGACTTGATGAGCACAAAATTTGTTGTTGTTTTCTAGTGCAAACTGTTCTTTATTTTGTTTTTTATGAGAATAACACAATTATTAGGATTATTGTCCCAGTTTGAAGCTTCATTTTGGTTCATTTTCCTGAAAGAGCTTCACCTCACACAGAGTCACTAACTTCTATTAAATCTCTTCTTAAAACCCACTTTTACAGAAAAGTTTACTTTTAGCTTTAATTAGTTTTAGTGTCTATTCTGTATTTGTGTTCTACTTACCTGTTTATTTTATATGTTCTCTCTTGTTTTATTTCCATTTCTAAGCGGCCTACTTCCTTTATTTGCTATTCTATCTCATTATTCATTTAACTTATTATCATCATTTCTATTGTTTCTGTTATCTGACTGCTCTGCCTCGTCTCCTTATGCTTGTGTTTGGATGTTTTCAAAGCACTTTGTTAACGCTGTTCTGGAAGGTGCCATATAAATAAAGTTATTAATATTATCATACATGATTAGTTCAAGGACTTTTAGAGAGTTTTTACATTTTCTGCCTCTGATAATATTATTTTAATGCTTTTTTTTGTTGTTGTTGCCTTTCAAACCCCAGAGCGTTCATGTTGTAGACGCTCTTGTTCAGCTTCTTGGAATATTTCTGTTTCTTCAGACAACATGTTTCTTCTTCTATTTAACCAGAAAAGCGCTGAGATAGAAGCTTTTGTTTTTTTACAAGGTCGTCCTGAACAAGACCAGCAGCGATAAGCACACATTATAAACCTCCTGCTCACTCTGTTGTTCAGCTACTGAGCAGAACATCGGACTCATCCAGTCGGAACAGTTTAGATTGTTGCCTGATATTAATTTCACCGCATTAGTCGGTTAGCGCTGATTCCTGCCTGCAGCTTTTCTACGTCCACACTGAGACGCTGATTGAACGTCTGCATGTTTTAATACAAAGATGTTGGTCCTCCTAAAGTCTGCCTCTAATCTGTGTCTACATTGATGCGCTGCTTCCTTTAAGTAAATGAATCCTTCTTCAAAATCAAACGCCAACGTTCGCTTTAATCACAAACATTGTTCTCGGCTTGTAATTTTCCTCTCGTCTCTCTGCAGGGATCTCGATGCCGATTCCAGTTCTGGGCCTCAGAGATCACTCCAAGGTCTTCAAGGACGGCAGCTGCCTGCTGACAGACAACAACTTTGTGCTGGTGGGCTCCTTCGTGGCCTTCTTCGTCCCCCTCACCATCATGGTGGTCACCTACTTCCTGACCATCAACGCCCTGCAGAACGAAGCCACCCTCTGCCTGGACCAGCTGGTGCCGCGGCCCAAATGGAGCACCACGTTCACCCTGAGCTTCCTGCCGCAGACCTCGCTGTCCTCCGAGAAACTCTACCGACGCTCGATTAGCCGCGAGGCCGGAGGCAGGGGCAGCAGCGGCGGGCTGGGCGGCGCCCGGGGCAGCGTCTCCGGCTCGCTGTTCGGACGCCGCAACATGCAGTCGATCAGCAACGAGCAGAAGGCGTCCAAGGTGCTCGGGGTGGTGTTTTTCCTCTTCGTGGTCATGTGGTGCCCGTTCTTCATCACCAACGTGCTGGTGGTGGTGTGCGACCCGGCGGTGTGTGACGCCGGGGTCATGGGAGGCCTGCTGAACGTTTTCGTCTGGGTCGGATACCTGTCGTCCGCCGTCAACCCGCTGGTCTACACGCTGTTCAACAAGACGTACCGCGCCGCCTTCCTGCGCTACGTCCGCTGCCAGTACCAGCCGGAGAAGAAGCCCCTGCAGCTCATACTGGTGAACACCATCCCCCCGCTGGCCTACAACTCCACCCAGCTGCCCCTCGGAGACGTCGGGAAGTTACGGAACGGGGCGGCGCACTCCGGCGGCGAGGAGAAGGAGTTCTCTTTACCCGGGCAGGAAACAGACAAGTGCAGGCAGGACAAAAGCCCCGGAGACAAAGACGAGAGCTGCGTGTGAAGATCGATCCAAGTCGTGGATTGGATCAGACATTTCACCTGCAAAGGGTTGGAGATTACGAGTCAAAGTGCCAAAGACAAAGTGCCTCCAGGTCAGGAGTGTGAAGCAAAACAAGCCCCATTCTCAGCATTTTCAACTCGAGTGGCGACTCAAGTCCTCCGAGTCGCCCAGCGTCTGATCCCACAGGTGGATCGGCTGAATCAAGGTTATTATTTCAACACTTTGTTAACCGCTCACCCCGAAATGACGATTAAAATCACGGTTTTTCAGCCCTTTCAGCGCCTCCTGCACACTGCCAGAAGATGGATTTAATCTCGGAAAACATATCAGTTTATTTTTCACCGTCTGAGAGTCGAACCGGAGAAACGAAAAAGACCCGACTCGAAGATGAAACAAAAAGCGGCATACCGTGTCTATTTTGTAACACGTCTTTGGACAAAGATTCTTGACATTATATCATTTTCCACGGACCTGACCTCAGATAACCCTCCATTTTGCCGACTCCCCGGCGGCGGCGGCGGCGGCGAGGCTTCTACCTCCCATCACACCTTTGGGTGGATCAGCGGGGATTAGACTGGATTTCCTGCCACCTTATCAGATGATAGTGTCGGGATGAGCCCCGGCATGCCGGGACTCCAGACACTTGCAGAGGTCAGATAAAGCTGAAAAAAGGGAAGAAAAACCTCCTGCTGCTTCTGTATTTTTCCGTCGAGAATAACAGGAGGGAGAATCTGAGATCAGACAGATGCACACGAGGCGGCGACGTTACAGAGAGACACCGTAAATAAATCTATATTTGTATTTTGTGCAGATATCTGTGAATAAATGTATATGACTGTTGAGGTTAAACAGATTTTATTTACTGCAGGACGACTATTGAACCTGATGAGATTACGTTGGCAGATACTGAAGAGTGTAAACCTTTTTTATCGTGTTCTAGCCAAACTGTCAGCGCACATCGGCACCTGTTTTCCAGGTGTTTTCCAGAAACGTGCAGGTGTTTCTGCAGTTTTTACACATCCTAGGAGATGATGGTCTAGTGGTTGGTCGTTTGAATATTGTTTTAAAATCTGCTACACTGGAGCTGCTGCATCAGACTGAGAAGAAAATGAAGATCAGTGAAGAGATGAAGGTGGGCTTAAATCATGGATGTATCGTCACTGTAGGCGGGTTTCAGGGGAAATGTGAGGGACGCCTTTGGAACATGGAAAAAAAAGCAAATTTTCCTTTACCTAAATCAAGATATTGATGCAGAAAGGGCAGGAAATGGTGCAAAAAACATCAAACGAATGTAGGAAATTAAGTGTTTGCTGCTGAAAATGTTCACCCAGACCTCCATGATTATTGATGGGCACTGAACTTGCACAATCCTCTCTGCTGTGTTTTCCTACATCTAAATCAAGATTTTGATGCAGAAAAGCCAGAAAATGGTGCAAAAATATATCTACAGTTAGCTGAACTTGCACATGGGTCGTGTAGTTTGTGACTTCTGCACAGTCAGTTCATCGGTCGTGAAGCAAATTAGGTTTTCTTTGGTCTAAATCAAGATATTGATGAATAAAAGGCGTTAAATGGTGCAAAAATATGCACCACAATGCAGGAAATTAAGTGTTTCATGCTCAAAATTGTCACCTAGATTCACCCCATGATTGTCAAGGTTTAATCCAGACTAAAGCTGCAGACGTGATGTTAGAAGAGCTCTGGCTGATTGACATTAGACGTCACAGAAAGCTTTGTCATGGTGCCTCTTTACTAGTTTATCTCCCACAATGCTCTCTGCTGTGTTTTCCTTTGTCTAAATCAGGATAGTGAAGCAGAAAAGGGAGAAAAAAGTGGCTCAAAAATTTCAACAGAATGCAGAAAATGACATATTTCATGCTCAGCATTTCCCCAGATCTCCATGATTACCACAGTGCGTTCACACCAGAGCTGCAGACTGACCGTAACCCTAATCATTCAGAAAATGGTGCAAACATTTATCTAAAACTAGTTGAATCTACTCTTGGGTTCTTCAGTTTGTGGCGCCTGCAGTCAGTCCATCAGCAGTTGTTGTTTCTGCCCTGTGGAGCTTCCTTCAGAACAAACACAAGCTACAATCATATCGAGTGTTTCTCACCCAGAATGCTTCGTGTTTATCCCTGAACTCGCTGTTGAGTGCGTTTGCAGTTTGAGGTGCGATCTGTTTCACAGACATCTCTAATCATACAGTTTTCTCTGATGGTATCAGCCCATTAAATGGCCGTTATCATTATGATCATTCCTGTCCACATGGGCCAGGAGGGACCTCTTCCATCTTCTCCTCGGCTCAGAAGGCTCATTACAATCCTGTGAAGTGACGCTCCTTCATCACGTCACTTAATAGCAGCAGAGGCCTGATTTTAGAAACAAAAGTCCAAATTTGGCGATCGGAGGAGTTAGAGGAGGAGCAGGTCAGCAGACTCTCCCCCCAGAGAGGTGTGCTGTAAAGTAAGACTAATGGGTTCGTTAGACGTATCTAGAGTATCTAGTGTCACAGAGGAGTCTCTCTTTTAACCTGCTAGATCACCATGGTAACAGATGCAGCACAGCTAACCTGCACCAGATAAGGTTCTGTTCAAAGCTCAGCGTCTCTATTATGCTGATTCTCTCTGAGCGATACAGAACAGTGATGCTGTTAACCAACCTTAATTGTTGATTAAGCCTTATCACTCAACCATTAATTCATCAATAAACTCAATGGACATCATTATTAGCATAGCTTATTAGCCACCAGGACAAAGATATACGATAGGGCACTTCAGCTCAGCTACAGAATAAGATCTCTGGGCGGTCTCAGAAGACTTCCTCATGGTGCCCATTTACTATCTAAACTCCCACAATGCTCTCTGCATGCCAACACAGATCTGCTGGTAGTCCCATAGACTGTATAAAAGATGGACGTAGCAACCGGCCCTGAAAAATGAAGCCAACCCGGAAGTGTCAAAAACCTGCAATATCACTACGTCCACTAGTCCTGGCTCCAAAAAGCCCCTGGCTCCCATAGACTGGAATTGGAAAAGAAGTGATCACAGATCATGAAATACTGCATTCCTACAGCTCAGGATTTTTTTCTTACTAGTTTTCATGATCAAATCCAGAGATCAGGTGGCCAATCTGAAAATAAATCAATACTGAATTTTTAAAAAACCGTCAACATTTTGCGGGGCAAGGGGCGTGGCTGGCTTGATTGACAGTCGGCAGCGACCATGCAGACGAAGCGAGCAGAAGGCGGTAAATGTGGGCGGGGCAGAGAGGGCCCGCCTCTCAATCCGTCTGACCAATCGCTGCTCCTATGGCTCCGTCCGCCCCTCCGACGATTTTTGCGTCACTGGCTCCAAAAATCCAAGATGTCAACCAGGAAGTAGCAAAACCCTGGCTTCATTTTCTCAGTGCAGAAACCAACGGGTGACGTCACGGTAGCTACGTCCATCTTTTATACAGTCTATGGATAGTCCGAGTGTGCGGTCCGAGTGTGCGCCCCCTCTAGTCACTGTGGTACTAAACAGTAAGAGGCTCCCTCTGGTGGAACAACCAGGCACTACAGCTGGTCTACGATGCATTTTCTGACATGCACGTCCTCTGCCTTATCGCACTTTTAAACGGTATAAGCTTAAGTCATGAACAGCAATGAATCCATTCACTGATGATCATTCATATCTGATCCTTTGACAATAATTTTACTCTGATTAGGCCCAAAAATGAAATGATTTTCATGTGTCCTTCATTAGAGACGGTTGAATGCATTTCTTGACTGTCCTGTTTAAGCGTTTTAAGTTTAGAGGCTCTGATGTGCAGCTGCGTGGATGAAAAAGTCGAGCTAGCTAGCTAATGCGAGGAAAGCCGGACTATGTTGAGTTTGCTTTATGTTCGCCCCTCAGGAGAGTCCAGTTTGTCTTGTTTTGACTTTCTCTTGCTGTTCTTCACTCAGTGCTTACCTGCATATATAACATTTAGTTGAATTCAGGCGCCTCCACACATGCGCTTACTTACTCAAGCTGATGCTACTGGGTTTACTTTGTGTTTAACAGTGACAAGAATGGATCATACCACACCTACTAAACAGTCCGAGGTCCTGACTGGTCCGTATATATGAGCATGACGATATTGCACCAATAACATCTGCAGTCAAAGTGCTTATTGTTATTCATGCAGTGTAGCGTTTGACCACTGGAACAAGTTGGCAGCTTGGTCACAGCTCTGAGCGCCACGCTAACCTTTAGCCTCAGCAGATACTACCTGCTTCATCCTGCAGAGATTAGTTATCGGAAACTCTGAAAACAAAAAGCAAGACGGATGTGCAAACGCATACGAATGTAAAGAATGAACATGTTAGATTCATATTCCCTCCAGATGTCGGCTTGGCTTTAATGAGTAACGGGGGAGTTTGTTTTTTTTAAAGAAGTGATGGTTAAGATTTTCTACCATCAATGACAAGAGTTGAATTTTGAAGAAGTGGATGTTTAATTCTGGAGCAGAAGACTTCACAGGTGATGAAGGAATCTGCAGACAGAGCTCAGGGGATGTTAAGAGTTAAAGATGCACTAAATGTCACACAGGAAGTAAAGTCAACATGAAGAAGGCGGGTTGGTTATCGTCACCGCCGCTGGTGTTTACTGCAGCAGGTCAGACGGCGGCAAACAAGGATTGAATCGGCACTGAAGGATCAGAAATAAAAGCTCAGCAGGAGAATGTTTCAGCATTTAGCACCTCCTGAGTTAAAACCTGCGTTTACACAGAAACGGAAAAGTCCGATTTTTCAGCAAGTTTCTGCCCAAATGAAGCTCTGGGTCGACTGTTAGACATAAAGCTGTGAGACTGCGTGTTAATGTTGAGTTTGGGGGATTCTGTTTTGCCAAGTGGTGAATAAACCCAGCAACGAAACAGAAAGAACAGCCAGTGGTTAATGGAGAAAAATGTGTTTAATTTCACAATCTGGGTCGTAACTTTCATCGTTATTGGGTTTTGTGCCTGATCATAATGAA